TTCTCCACAGACGTAGTTTTCCCCAAATACATTATTTGTCACTTGGGGATAAAGAAAAACTCAAGCCCCTATAAAACGGTACTTTGGAGGCTGTTCACTCCTCTCTCTCGTGTGCAAATGCATCCCGGTGGATCACAGGAACTGGTTTTTATCCGTTGTGTGTGATGCTTCTAAGAAAAAAACTGCCAAGAACTTGTGACTGGATTTTTCAGAGGCAGTCCGTGGTGACAGCTGTCCCCACTTGCAAGTGGGTATATTTCTATATGCTGACTTTAAACGTGTCTTTCTTTAACAGTAATGGCAAAATATAAGAAACGCCGACGAAAACAGAGAGCCGGAGCAAAATTTTTACTGGAAAAAAAAGGAGATGCAGCAAACCTCCAGGGCTCGGGTTGTTCTTCTCCACGGTAAGAGCCTCAGCTGGAACCTTTCCTTTTAACTCTGTTCCTGGGTCCAGGGTTCACTCCCAATGGTTTCTGGAACTGAGGTAACAGAATTGTGTTTGGAGCCCGTCTACATCCTGGCACGGGTGCTGTGGAATTGTTTCATCTTGTGTATCTTCTCCTACTCTCTGCTGTTAACTTCAATGTACAGGAAAAGCAATTTGGATAAAAAACTATATTGCAAATTTCCTTTTTTTCCCCCTTTATCAAAATGTATCTTAGTGTGTCCTGGTCTCTATGCTCATGTTCACACTGTTGTCACCTGCTGTTGCTGGTACTTGTTATTTCCAGATGATTGGTGACAGTTAACCTTTGTAAAGGCTGAAATTATAGATATCATTGTGACCGCCTTCTGAAATGTTATGCCCTAGGTCAGCAGGTGATCTTCCTCCGAACACATCATCTGTCCCAAGCCATCTGTCCTCACTCTGGTCATTAGCCTTGCCCGGTGTAAAAAATGTGGTAAAACCCTTTACAACAACAGCGTTATCTTTGTATTGTTGGTGCCAGAACACGGTTGCACAGGTATGTGTGTTTTCTACTTCCCTATTTTTACCAATGTGTGAGGTTGTTCTTAGCACTCAGATGCAGGATATACAGTCAGATTTGAGAACTGAGCTGTAAATTTAGTTATGTCTATTGAAACATCTGAAGAATATTTTGTATTTACTGTTGAAGCAATAAGTATGAGAAGAGTGTCAAGGCCAATGTGGATATCCAGTGCAGGTGTGAAATTGTAGGGGGTTTTTTTGCAATATCGGGAGGTTTTGCAGTGACAGAATCTTTCTTCCGTAGCAGAAATGATTGTATGAATTTTTCAGGCCAAATGTGAATTACACTGTAGAATTTGTAGATAAAGTTCTTTTGGAGAAAGCCACTCTTTGGGTTCTTGTCAAGGAAATATTTGGTGAAATCTTGTATCTTCATCTTGTGCCTTTCCATTGACTACGACAGGAAGACCTTGTGATAGAACTGTCAGTAGTAATTGTAGCTCTATCTTTGGAAAGATAACTCGGTGAAAACGCTTATCTGGTTTCTTTGTATGCTTAGGGTTTTAAGGTGGTTAAAGACACCATATTTCCATCACAAATCTACTTAAGGGAGCTAAATTCGTTCAGAGAGCAGCTGGAAAAGTTGGAAGCTGAATTTTCCAGACTACAAGGAACGCTCCAGGTCAGTCTCAGTCCCAGTGGGGTGGGGTAATGTTTGCTTGTGTAAGCGTGTAAGGAGCTGTGGTCAGTGAACATAAACTGAAATCTTAAGAGGTTCTCACTGGGCAGTGTTTCACCTCTTCTTTGCATTCAGAGTTACTAAACTGCAGTTACTTCATAGAGGGAACTGGTTTGCTGGCAAGTCTCATAAGAGGCTTTTTATTTCTTTCTGCATCAACTGAAGCCAGAACCTCTGTTTTCTTAAATTTCTTCTACTTTAGTCAGTGGATTTAATATTGTTTATTTCTATTGCTTTCAGATGAATGGAATTGCAGCCTCATCTTCAAAAAATTCTCTTTGTGAAAGGTGTAATAAACCAGTTCTGGGTGCTCCTGTACAAAGGCAGATGGCTCCACCACCGTCAGTATCTGGGCCTTCCGCAATACAGCTGCAGCCTGTATCTGCACCCCCTCCACCTCTTCCTCCTCCTCCACCACCACCACCGCTGCCCCCACCAAAACTGCCGCCAGCACCTCTCCTCCTCAAACGGGGCAATGGCTCTAAAGCACTTCTGGTAGGGAGTAAAACCTTCCTCTGTTTTTTTTTTTTTCTCTCACATCTGGGTTCTTTGGACCCAGTTTAATCAGGAATGTGTGTCTCTGTGAAAGCTCAGTCACTTCCTAATCCAACTTCCCTTCCAACCACGTTTGTTTTCAGGAACCATCACTGAAAAAGGATGGGCCAATGCAGATCACTCTCAAAGATCTCCTGAATGTTAAGCTGAAGAAGATAAACAGCAACCTGAGGATGGACAAGGTAAACTGGAGGGCACATGGATAAATGGATGATGGTGTATTGGGCAAACTCCACACCAGAACTGGGCTATTTCCTGCAATGTTTGTCTTAGCCCCTCATAGAATTTTTTTCAATAAATTAATTCTTCCAAAAACGCAGTGATCAGCTTCAAGTAACCATTTAATTCTGCACCTGGGCATTTGAAGTGGAGAAATTAAATGACTAACTCCAATCTCAGCCGGCATGAAGGAGAGTTCTCATTTTAGATTAAGGGCAGGTAGCTTTCCTGTAGCTTTATGTCTATGTGTTATCAATAGATTTTGGGCTTTCTTTTGCCCAGCTGAAACTTTGTTTGCAAAAGTTTTTAAATAAATCAATCTTTGTCCAAGGCACATTAAAATCTTAATGATTCAAAAAAGCATAAAAGCCATAAACCATCAAGTCTTTCAGAGTATAAATATTAAATAGATTTAAGGTCAGTGAGGCCTTCTGAAGTTTAATTGTGGTAACATTTCTTTTCTCACTTTAGGCAGAATCACCAGTGAAGACACGCAGGGCATTAATTACAGTCTCAGACTTACAGAGCATTAGTCTGAGACCTAAATCCAAGCCACCAGCTCATGTTACAAACTCTTTAACGTAAGATGCTTTCTTGCTTTCTTTGATATTAGATTTCTCCATTTTGAACAGTGATGAACTCTATAGAGTGGAAAATATTTTTTTAACACTTTTATTTTTCTTTCAGTACCCCTCCTAAAAATCAGTTAGATCTTCGAAAACATCTGAAAAAAGTCAATATACAAAGGTAAGTTCTTTTCTAGTCTCTTGCTTTATTTTTCTAGAGAGAAAAAAAGAGAACTTACCATAATTCCCCTCATTTCCAATCTTTTCAGAAGTCCTGGTGGCACTCCACTAAATAATAAAGAAAACATTGAATGTGGGTCTGGGTTGACACCGATAATGACACAGGCACTACGGCGCAAATTTCAGGCAAGTCATGGTGTCTTTCTTTTTAAAACAATAGACTTTTAAATTACATAGAAGTTCATACTGATTTTTTTTCCCTACAGTGCAGTGCCATTGGTATGTATTACCTAAGTTACAGTCTCTCCATAATTCTCCTCCAAAAGCCCCACCAATAAGGGCACTTGTTTTACTGATTCCCATTTTAATGGTAAACTGCAGAATAGCAGTGCCATTGCCTGTCTTCCAGCAGGTGATTTGACAACGGTAGGAGCAAAAGTTGCTTTTTTTAGCTTTTTTTAGTGCCTCAAGGTGATCTCTAGCTTCATCGTTTCAGTTTCCAGGAGAACAAAATCTGAGGGTTAATTATGGTCTTTTTTTTCTGTCTCTTTTTTTATGAATGTCAGTTAATAATTGCACTGTCCTTTATGTTAGTACTAAGTTCATCTCCCACGATCTGACCCTTTTCTTATTTTGACAGATGGCTCATCCGAAGAGTCCCTCACCAGCCCGGTTAAGTGCAGCAAACAGCTTTGATGAACAAAAGTAGGTTTATGGAACAATGTATTTTTCATTTGTGGTCAGGAAGCCTCTTGAATCCCATTTTTATCTCACATGTATTTGTAATCTAGCCACATGAGAATGGGGCATTATGAAACCCCTTTAGCAGATTTCTGGTTTTTTAAAGGCAGCTTCTTTCTAATGTGCCTCAATCTGGTTGCATCTTGTTTCTTAATGGAAAAAAACCTGGACATTTCATGCGTCTTTCAATACCTGGCTGCTGCTGAAGCAGGGACTATTACATTCCCGGCGCTGGTGCTGCTTGTATTATAAATACGTGTATGTTTGCTGACATTCAGTATTGTTTTTATATTACTTCTTACAAGAAAGATCTGGATGTTAATTCTTCAAAGAAAAGCAGCAGTTTAGCACTCTAATGTTATTAAACTGAACGGCTGCAACTTTCCACAAACGATTCAATTACATGGGCGAGAATGTCCAAAGCAATGGCAGCGTGTCTCTGCTGGTGTCAGATCACCTCTCACGTTAGAAGACTGAAAAGCCTCCTCGAGTTTACAGTCAAGCTCCCCCAGAGCTACAGTGGTGGACAGGCGCTTTGGCGGAATTCCCACCCTGGCCTGGCCGAGCGCTCCCCTCCCAGCCCCCTCTGCCTTGGGGGGGAACCGCTGAACATCCGACCCCTGATGTCCAATTTCCATGATTTGTGCCTTGCTGTCTAATACCCAGCTGCCCCCCTGCCTCCCTGCCCCTGGCTTATCGCAAAACTTTGCCGCCGTGCGCCTCTCTCCGCCCCGCCCCGCTCCCCGAACCGCGCATGCGCAGGGCTGG